GTAACATTGGTCCTTCCGCCGCAGATCCCTTTCTGAACTACGTACATATTTTACTGATACTCAATTAAATTGATTATCATAATTAATTTCTCAAAATTATCTAAATATCATTAATATTTTTGTAATATATTATTTTAAATATATTCAATAAAATAAATTCTCGAACAAAATCTATATTTATCTTCTCTTTAGCGCAGTAAAAAAAAGGTAGTACATTTTTTGTCACTGGTTCCACTGGCCAGGAATTTGCCACCGACCGATCGATTTTTAAATTGCCGTACCGGTGTTAAAAGCGATATCTAGCGCTGTTTCGCGATACTGGTCCGGATATTTCTTTTTTACGCTCAAATTTATCGATACGCATTTAGTCTCAACTCTAAGCTGTTCTCTCTCTTAATAATTTAATTAATAAATACACTCAATTAATTCCAATACCTTAGTAAAAATAATAATTATTTTCTCTCTCTCTCTCTCTCTCTCTCTCACACACACACACACATACACTCTCTCAGTGAATTATTCTATTTCTCTCTTACTCTCTTAGTTAATTACTCTCTCTCTCTCTCTCTCTCTCTCTCTCTCTCTCTCTCTCTCTCTCTCTCAGTTAATTATTATATTCTATAATATTTTATTTTCTCACCTTATAAGGTAAAAATATAATAATTATTTTCTCATATAATATTCTATTGTAGAATATATCATTCCCTCTCTCTCTCTCTCTCTCAGTTAATTATTATATTCTATAATATTTTATTTTCTCACATTATAGCATTCCATTTCTCTCTTACGCTCTAATTAATTATTATACTCATTTTCGCTATGTCTGCAGACGCTCGCAAATTAAAAACACTTATAGCTCAACGCTCTGTAGAACTTACTAGAATTAAAGAACTTAAAAAATCCGCTGATCAAGCTCTTGAAGATCCAAATTTTCACCCTAACTTTAGATGTAGAGCAAAACACTTAGAAGATATTTATAAAACTTTTAATAAGATTCATAATAATATAATTTTATTAGTCTCCGCACAGGATAATGGCGATATTGATCCTCATGTCAAAATTCAAACTGAATTTAATGATTATTATTTTCACATTGAAGCATTATTCACAAATTTATTCCGCAAACGAAATCGGAGCTGGATACTACACAATTACAAAACACTACTGCTCAATGTTCGGTAAAACTTCCTAAAATTGAGGTACCCCATTTTGATGGTGAATTTAAACATTGGCAAACATTTATCGATATGTTTGATTCTCTTATACACTGTAACTCGTCTCTTAGTGATATATCGAAATACAACTATCTAGTGAGTTTCTTACGAGGTCCTCCTTTAGCTTTGGTATCTAGTACTCCACTTGCCAATCAAAATTATAATATAGCATATCAAGCCTTAAAAAATAAGTACGATAAGAAACGTTTGATTGCAAAAGCTCACTGGCAGGCTCTAGAAAATATTAAGCCCATCTCTAACGAAAATAATCATGAAGCTCTAAGAAATATGATTGATATTTATACTCGTAATATTACAATTTTAAATAACTTGGGTTTTCCCACAGAGAGCTGGAGTTTTGTGCTATTTAATATGATTTATGATAGACTTCCAGAAATTTTGCAAACTAATTTTGAACTGGAATGTGGCTCTGTTTTATCACAAGATATGCTATACCTCAAATCATACGATACACTCATTGAATTTTTAGAAAAACAATGTTCAGCTAAAGATACAATCTCTCTAACTAAATCGTTTTCTCATTTTAATAAAAATAGTAATTATGACAAAACTAAAACGAAGTATTCACAAAAAAGTTATAAAAATAAACCTACCTCTTCCTTTGTTGTCAACACTCAGTTGAAACAAAATTTAACTTGTCAAGTTTGTAACAAGGATCATTTTATTTATAACTGTCCAGATTTTATTGCTTTTACTCCAAAACAGAGATATGATTTAATTAAATCCCGAAGTTGGTGCTCAAACTGTCTCGGCACTAGACATTCTTCTAAGAGTTGTAATTCTCGTTCCTCATGCCGAACTTGTGGCAAAAAACATCATTCGCTTTTACATTTCGAAGGTCAAATAACAACTCCTGTAAACGTTCCTCCATCCACTTCATCGCAAACTCTTCCAGTTCTGCAAGCAAGCAGCTCTATCTCAGAAGTTGTATCTACAAATTTATTTGCAAAACATAAGAATAAAGCTCTTCTTTCTACAGCATTAATCAATGTTCAAGATGCGTGGGGTAATTTTCATGTAATACGCGCTGTAATTGACAGTGGAAGTGAAAGTCACTTTATTTCAAAATCTTGTTTTAATAAATTAGGTTTATCTAAATTTTTCCTCCCCATCCAATTGTGTGGCATCGGGAAAAATATTTCCAAAGGTTCTCACGGTGTTAGATGCAACATTAAACCTATTGGAAAGTCTGATCCGATCTACTCCTTGGAGTTTATTATATTAAACGAAATTAGTGATAATTTACCGATTAATTCTCTTCCCGTTGAACAGTTCTCAAAGTTTTCTCAATTGCCCTTAGCTGATCCCAACTTTCACCTCTCTAAACCCGTAGATATACTTTTGGGTGCAGATATTTATGGTTTCTTGATAACAGGAAACAAACTCCTCTCAGATCCAGATCAACCCGTCGCTTTAGAAACTATATTTGGATGGATAATTACAGGAAGAGTTAAAACATCTAGTGTTTCACTCTCTGTAAACTCATACTTTCTTACCTCTTATGCTTCCTTGGATCAATCACTTCAAAGATTCTGGGAGTTAGAGGACGTTCCACAATCCTCGACGCTTTCTTCAGATGAAAAGCTTGCCGAAGAACACTTTTGTAAAACATTTTCACGCACTCTTTCTGGACGTTATAAAGTATCTTTACCATTTAAAACTTTGGAACCGATCTTTGAAGGTTCTAGAGATGTCGCCCTTCGTAGATTTTTCTCGCTCGAAAAACGATTGCTTCGAAACCCCCAACTTTATTCTCAATATTCTAATTACATGCGTGAATATTTAGATTCTCAATATATGATTGCCGTGCAAAATCCTTCTCCCAACGCTTATTCTTATTATCTGCTTCATCATTGCGTAATCCGACCAGATAGTCTCACGACCAAACTTAGAGTTGTTTTTGATGCTTCCGCTCGAGATTACACAAATAAATCTTTGAATGACACTCTCTTAACTGGGCCAAAATTACAGTCAGATATTTTATCTATTTTGCTTCGATTTAGATCGCTTTTTATTGTATTTGCTAGCGATATTAAACAAATGTTTAGTCAAATTCTTGTTAATGAAAATCATACTTAATACCTAAAATTTTTATGGCGATTTTACCCTAATGAGCCCATTCAAGAATACAAACTTACTCGTGTTACTTTTGGTTTAAGCTGTAGCCCATTTTTAGCCATTCGAGTTATAAAACAAATTGCTTTAGAAAATTTAGTAAAATATCCCGAAGCATCAAAGATTTTAGATATGGAGACGTATGTCGATGATATTATATCTGGTTGCGATTCTCTTTCTCTTGCTATAAAAATTCAACGCGATCTCATTTTTATACTCAAACACAGCGGTTTTGAACTTAGAAAATGGACTTAGAATAGCTCAGATTTTCTTTCTCAGTTATCTCCAAATGAATGCAAAATGGATTCTTCTCTCTCTTTAAATATAAATTCTCTTTCTTCCTCTAAAGTTCTAGGACTAAACTGGAATCCCTCTACAGATGAATTTTTCTTTGATTCACCAGAGTTGTCCTTGACAAACAAAATCTGTAACAAACGCAATATTCTTTCCAAACTCGCAAGCATATTCGATCCTTGTGGCATGTTAGTTCCTCTCACTCTTCACCTAAAACTGATTATACAAGATTTGTGTAGTTAGGTATAAATTGGGATGATCCTGCTCCCAATAACATTGCTACATCTTGGCATCAACTCGTTCAAGAATTACCTTGTATTTTCTCTCTCAAAGTTCCTCGATATTTTCTCACTCTCAAATATTTATCCCTGGAAGTACATGGTTTTTGTGATGCTAGTGAAAAAGGCTATTGTGCAGTAATTTATTTTAGGAAAATTCTTCCAGATAACTCTGTAAAAACAAATTTTGTCTGCGCTAAAGGCAAAGTAGCTCCACTCAAAAATCTCAATTCCAAGACTGGAACTCTGTGCAGCCTTACTTCTGACCAGGTTAATTGATTTCGTTAGCACTTCTCTTTCTAATAAACTTATTAATGTTAGTAAGTGATTGCATGGTCCGACTCGATGGTTGTTTTGCATTGGCTTAAAAGTGAACCATATAAGTGGAACACCTTTGTAAGCAATCGAGTTTCCCAAATTCAAGAGAAATTACCTCCTTCTTGTTGGCGTCATGTAGTCTCCAAAGACAACCCCGCTGATCCAGGTTCTCGTGGTCTTCAACCTAGCGAGTTACTCGACAATGCCTTATGGTGGGCGGGACCTCCATGGCTAAGCCAACCGGAATCTTATTGGCCGCAATCAATTTTTACTTTCCCTAAAACTGAAGAAGAACAACGACATATATTGACATGTACTTCACAGTCCTCATTGTTTGATACTCTGTTTGAAAAGTTCTCTTCTTTCTCTAAAATTATAAATATTGTCACGTTTTGCAGACGCTTTCTCTATAATACTCGACATTCTAAATCTCGTAAAACCTCTCCTCTCTCGAAATTTGAAATAAATGAAACTCTAGAATGTATTATTAAATGTGTTCAATCACAATATTATGCTAGGGAAATTCTCTTAATAAATAATTGCAAATCTCTAAATTTCTCTCAAAAACATCCCGCACTCTTACCCAATAATCATAAATTTACTACTCTACTCATAGAATATACTCATAAACTCTATTTGCATCCCGGTCCCCAAACTCTTCACTATATTCTCGCTCAACAATACTGGATTGTTTCTGCTAGAAAAACAATTCGTAGTGTTCTCTTTAAATGTCCTCAATGCTTTCTGCGCTAATCCAGTAATGCCTCAGCCTCCTATTATGGGAGATATTCCTGCTGTAAGACTTTCTCAAGTAAAACCTTTCTCTGAAGTTGGATGCGACTATGGTGGTCCATTCTCTTTATTAAGATATCGTGCACGAGGTGCTAAGTCCTGTAAAGCCTATATTTGCTTATTTGTGTGCATGGCCACGAAAGCTTTGCACTTAGAACTGGTTTCCGACCTTTCCTCCGAGACTTTTCTGGGTGCACTGCGTCGATTCATTTCTCGTAGAGGTCGCTGCAATCATATTTATTCCGATTGTGGAACGAACTTTGTCGGAGCTTCTAGAGAACTGATTAATATGCTAAAATCCGCCGCTGAGCAAGAACAAATTTCCTGGCACTTCAATCCTCCAAGCGCGCCTCATTTTGGTGGCCTGTGGGAAGCAGGAATAAAGTCTGTAAAAAACTCACATTAAAAGGGTTATTGGTGATCAATTGCTCACGTATGAGGAATTTTATACGCTACTGGTTCAAATAGAAGCAGTGCTTAATTCTCGTCCATTGTGTCCACAAAGCTCTGATCCTAATGACTTGTCAGTTCTTACTCCAGGACATTTTTTAACCCTAGAGCCGTTAAACGCCCCTCCGGAAGATGATCTTTCCGGGATAAAATTAAATCATCTCTCTCGCTGGCAGTTGATATCACGCTTGCACCAAAGCTTTTTGGAGCCGATGGTCTAAAGAATACCTTCAAACACTTTTACAAAGAGCTAAATGGAATGACTCTACTATTTCAATAGAAATAAACTCGGTTGTTTTAATAAAGGATGATAATCTAATTCCGCTCAAATGGAGCATTGGAAGAGTCTTAGAGATTCACCCGGGCCATGATCGTGTTACACGCGTGGTTACTTTAAAAACAGCAAAAGGCATTCTTAAAAGACCAGTGACAAAAATATGCCCATTGCCTTACTGCAAATCTCAAAATTAAAATTTACTCTCTAAAATAAAACATAAACGCAAAAAAAACATAATCTCATTATAAACATAATTAACATCTCTTATTTAATTACTTTTCTCTACTCTATAACAAATGTAAACTCTCTTAATATTTAATTAAATTACACTCATGCATTAACCCCAATAATGCATTTTTCTAAATTTCCTCTAAATTTAACTTCATAAATTTCACTCTTACTTTCTTTTAAACATAACGCATTTTTTCACTATTCTCAAACGAAAATGGAAAATATTTCATTTTGGTGGGCGGTATGTTGGATTCTATCCCTTCCTCCCATCCTTTACCCGAAAAACCTTAGTGGGTACGTAGCCGTAGTCGAGTACGCAGAGAGACAAGATCGGCCGAGTACACAGTGTACACCTCCAAGCGGGCGCTATCCTCAAGTGTTTTGTTCAAGCAAAAAATCAACAAGTACGAGTCCAGAACGGGAATAAAGGTGAGTGCCCACAGTCCTGATACATTAACTCACCCTAATGAACTGAGCCCCTTAATTCTCGCCCGTAACAAAAGTATCATATTTTCCGATAAATATTATCACCCTTTCCATAGCATTGAACTAAATAAATTTTGTGCCTCTTTATCATTTTTAAACCAGCAAAAAATATGACTTTAATTAAATAAATTAATTTAAATTCTATCCATAACAATCTATCAAAGAATGAAACCGAAATTTCATTTTTACAGGACTTCAAAATAATATCAACTATATTTTCATGTTTTTTTTTTATTTTCTTTAAAACGATATAGTATAAATGCGATTAACCATTCTAGAACAAACAAAAAATTTTATGAAGAGTGCATTTTTTTTTCAAAATGTCAACTAATAAAAAAGTTGTTCCTCTTGTAAAGACAATTCGGGGACATAACTACATTTCCTCTATTACAATTTTATTTATTGAAAAACTAATATTAAATAAATATAAAGGTTCATTCCAACCGGACCGAGAACCGATCCTGGGACGGTAATTTCTAGTCGCCCACTTATTGTTTGAAAAGTTTGATCGTTTGTAAAGATTAACAAATGAATTGTCTGATAGGAAATTACCGTTCTAGGACGGTTCTCTCGTCCGGTTGGAACAAACATAATTCCTTATTTAATTATCCGAATAGAATTTATGAAACTATCAAGTGTAAAAGTACAACTTACATTTTCAAATAAAACACTGGATTTCTCTCATAACTCCTTTATTACATCGTAGTACTCAGGATTACGACACAAACATGTGCTTAGTGCGAGCTCCGGGTTACCGACTGACTGCGGGAGCCTCGCTCACAATATCTTATCTCCCGTAACATTCTATCGCCTCTCTCATAAAACCATGCATTATGAATAATACAATCTGACATATACATAAACCTTAATTTGTTAATCATAACAATACACTATATAAACAAGGTACTCATAAAAATCATAACACTCGGCCATCCCACTTCTGATATGTAAGAGTACAACTTGCATTTTCAAATAAAACACTGGATTTCTCTCATAACTCCTTTATTACATCGTAGTACTCAGGATTACGACACAAACATGTGCTTCGTGCGAGCGCCGGGTTTACCGACTGACTGCGGGAGCCTCGCTCACAATATCTTATCTCCCGTAACATTCTATCGTCTCTCTCATAAAACCATGCTTTATGAATAATACAATCTGACATACATAAACCTTAATTTGTTAATCATAACAATACACTATATAAACAAGGTACTAATAAAAATCATAACACTAGTTTTACCTACTACCTTGAAAAGGTTTTAATTAAAAAAAAACTAAAATATGGACTACTAAAAAAGGTAAGTGATTTTAATCTTGACCTTCTTATAAATTAGTTTTAATTAATTATTATTATTTATTTAATAATTATTTATACAAGGTGAGTCTTAAATGGGTGCAAATATTTTAAATTTTGTGTATATGGTCGTTATTTCAATATTTCCGAATTTAATCATTTACACGTAAACCCCAACGAGTTTCGGTAAAAATATTTGTTTTAAAGTCATTTACTAATATTCATTTTTATTTTTTTTTGTTTTGTTTAATTTTACAACACTTATGCTGGGAGTACACACCCGCCGAAGCCACAAAAAATTAATGGTATGCACATTGTTATTGGTTAGGACCGTCCTTTTTTGTCGTGCCTCGGGTGGCCTCGGCGAGTGTGTACTTCCAGCATGTGTTCCAGCATAGGATGAATATATTCATTTTACCAACAATCAATTTTTTATAGTATTATTTTAGATTTCAAACATGGTATTCGTGCAAGTCATTTTAGCAGTAGGAATAGTCTTAATTGTCATGATAGTTTTATCGACTATCTGGTCACTTCATTCAAAAAGACCAATTTTTAAATTTGCTCAAAAATACCAAGTCTTCGACAAGTTTCATCCAATTTTCGGTAATTTGCTGGAACTCAAAGACTTTAGTAAGTGTTTATGTATAAATATAATAAGGGCTGGCAAAGGTTAGTCTTGGATCGAGATTTCGGTATGTAAGAAGAGTACAATGCATTTACAATGTACTGAACAAAGAGAGAACAATAAACACGTTGCCAAATATATGAAATAAACTGAGAAACCGCACGTTGCTAAAAGACGTGGAAGGGGACATAACAGATTTTTCGCAGTCGACCGGTCACCGGTTGACCCAATCAGTTCCTCTGTCAATACTTAAAATTCTAGGAAGAGGTTTACATTATGCATTCAGCTTCACGATTTAATTACGTCTTGCGATACTTTATTTGTTTATTTATTAACGAGTCGTTGTAACTTTCCCAATAGTTTGAAAACTTTTAAGTGCAAGTTTGTAACACTTGCATTTTTGGTAAAAATAAGTGGAATTGAGTTAGTGTTCGACAGTGGTCGCGCTATTAGAACTCTGTATTCAAAAATCCGTATCTCGAAATCATTTCTGCTATATTTTCTTCGCTATTGATATACACTAAAAGTAAATGGATAGGTTGTTCAAAATTTTTGAATGAAAAAATAGTATATTGTGCAACTAGTGCGAAAAGTTGTCGATTGTCTACGGGGCGAAGTTGAAGTCTCAGTTGTTGAAGTTTTCATTCGCTCGAGCTTTTTTGCTTGTCAATTTGCGTGTGCCAATGAAAATTTGGATGCGAGAAGTTTACTTGTCGCACTCAAATTGACATTAAATATGCTCAAAACTCGTATGGTAATTGTGAAGTGGGCAATTAGCATCTTTTCGACTCCAAAAGAAAGCGAAAAGATACTACTTCCCCCGCATGAGAAATAAAAAGCAACCTTATCGAATTTTTCTTATTTAAACATATTGTAAAAGATGCGACCTTCAAAATAATAAAAAAAGTTTCAAAGTCTATAGTGGTTCTTAAGTTATGGCGTGTTATGTGTTAAAAAGTTGAGTTTTTAAATTATCGCGATTACTGACGTTTTATCGTTATAGAAAAATGGACACCATAACGATATCCTTATAATTCCATTTCAGATGCTCAGAAACATATCTAATGATTTTATCTAGTTATCTTTTCGAAATAAAAGTCGTTTAAAAATAAGCGGTTTGCGATCGTGAATTTTACTTTAATTGATAGGGAAAGGCGTACCGGCAACGCCGCAACAGCACACCGTCGCATTTCTCTCAATCCGACTTAATAAGATACCTATGCGATATACTTCCACACATGTAAATACCGATCCAAAATTAACAGTTGCCAGCACGTTATATAGAGAATAAACTATACAGTAAGAATATTATAAATGATGCATCACAAGGGCAATAAAACATGCAGCAAATTTTAAAAAATATTTTTTCCGAAATATGTATAATCACAAAAAATGTTGCCCTTCTGGTGTTTAATAATGTCGCTACAGTGGTAATTTCTGTATTTATAACTGTAGTAAAAAGTAATTATAAAGTGAATTTTATTAGGTTTCCAACAACTATTTACAAAAAAAGTATTCAAGAAAGATCGTCCGTTTGGTTTTTGGTTAGGACACAATTATTATTATATGCCAGATAATAGTGAAGAAATTAGTCAAATACTAACACACGCTAATAGTATGGACAAAGCTGATATCTACAAAGTATATAAATCAGCTGTATGGAGTGGTATTTTCTTATTACCAGGTAAACCGATAGCTACACATAAATATATATTTATATGTTATCATTTAAACTTTACTACTTGCAATTATTATTTCTTTTGCTTTTTGAACAAATTTATTAAGCAAGTTGGGTAAATTAGGTGGAAACAAAACACATTAACGAAATGTTTGATAATTAATAAGTAATTATATTGTTATTAATTTTCCTCTATCTTATCTATGTAGTTTATTTCGGTGTACGGTGAGTCCATTTTTAAATATTTATTTGAATTGATGCCCTCTATTTAAGAGCAATTTTTATAAATCGGGTATATCACCCATAACGTATTCGTATTAGGGGTCAGAACCGAGAAATCCCGGTACCAAAAAAGTACA